TGTCCATTGACAGATGAACGGATAAACAAAATGTGATATATGCAATGGAATATTACTCAGCCTTTAAAAGGAAGAAAATTCCGACCCATGCTACAACATGGGTAAAAACGGAAGGTGTCATGCTGAGTGAAATGAGCCAGTCACAAAAGGACAAATACTGTATGATTCCACTTACATAAGGTATGTAGCGTAGTTAGACTCATAGAGACAGAAAGTAGGATGGTGGTTGCCCGGGACTGGGAGGAGAGGGGAATGGGGAGTTGTTTAATGGGGACAGAGTTTCAGTTTGGGAAAATTTCTGGAGATGGATGGGTGGTGACGGTTGCACGACAATGGGAATGTACTTGACACGACTAAACGGTACACTTTAAGAATGCCTGTGAAGGGGCCCTCTCCCTCCCCGGGAGCTCACCGCGCCTTTCCCTTCTCCTCTTCTTCCCCCACAGGCGTGCATCTTCTAAGGGACCCCATGGGGGCAGTGGGCAGCAGCAGCTCGTCCTGGGCTAACCCCCTGAACCTGTCCCCAATGCCCCCTTTTCGCTGACTCTCCAGTGAGCTGACAGCAGCCACCTCGACTCATTTCTTTCCTATAACATTTCTAGAGGCCAAAGCAGCCCTGCCTGGGGCTCTCTCCGGTTACTTCTTCTATCCTAAGCCCTTCCTGGTTTCACTGTACCCAGCTTTAATAAACGTGCTAAAAAAAAAAAAAAAAGCCTGAGATGGTAAGTTTTATGTGATGTGTATTTTGCCACATTTTAAAAATAGGACAGCATGAAGCCTGGGGAAATTTGAGTACTGCTTTTAAAGTACCTAAAGGAATATGTGGTGGAACCTCTTATAAAAAAACGTTAAAGACCATTTTACCTTTCATGGAAATCTGGATTTTCACATGGAGTTTGCTTAAAGCTGGCCCACTGGTATCCCAGCTTCGCGTTGGATCTTCCTGATTTGTGGATGGGAAGTTTATTCACAGCAAATATTCTTGTTTCTGAAACTAGTCAGTCAGTCACGAGAATACACTGGTACCTACCATGGGCCTACCACTGGGCAGGTATAGTGGAATATATGAAAGAAGAAATAGGAATAAGAAATAATATGAAAAAAGAAAATACAAAAGAAGAAATAATTATTACATTTATGTATTACTATTTGCTATGGGCTAAATTGTGACACCCCCCCCCTCCACCCCCGCCGATTCCTACATTGAAGTCCTAACTCCCAGAACCTCAGGATGTGACTATTTGGAGATGGAGTCTAATAAGGTCATTGGATGGGCTCGAATCCAATATTACTGGCATCTTTATAAGAAGAGGAGATTAGGCCCAGCCGGTGTGGCTCAGTGCTTGAGCATTGACCTATGAACCAGGAGGTCACGGTTCAATTTCCTGTCAGGGCACATGCCCTGGTTGCAGGCTCAGCCCCTAGTAGGGGGTGTGCAGGAGGCAGCTGATCAATGATTCTCTCTCATCACTGATGTTTCTCTCTCTCTCTCTCTCTCTCCCTTCCTCTCTAAAATTAATAAAAATATTTTTTTTTAAAAGAAGAGGAGATTGCCCTAACTGGTTTGGTTCAGTGGATAGAGCGTCGGCCTGCGAACTGAAAGGTCCCAGGTTCGATTCCGGTCAAGGGCATGTACCTTGGTTGCGGGCACATCCCCAGTGGGGGGTGTGCAGGAGGCAGCTGATCGTTGTTTCTCTCTCATCGATGTTTCTGACTCTCTATCTCTCTCCCTTCCTTCCTCTCTAAAATTAATAAAAATATTTTTTTTTAAAAGAAGAGGAGATTAGGACACAGACACACAGAGGGAAGACCACGTGAGAACACAGGGGGAGAAGGCGGCCGTCTGAAAGCCAAGGAGTGAGGCCTCGGAAGAAACCCTGCTGACATTCGATCTGAACTTCCAGTCTTCAGAGCTGTGAGAAAATACATGTCTGTGGCCGAAGCCCAGCCTGTGGTATTTGTTGTGGCAATCTTATGTACCGTTCCGTTTTCAGGGTCCTCTTTAAATCCTTCAAACAACCTTGTAAGGGAGTCACTGTTCTCCCTGTTTATAGTTGAGAAAATTGAGGCTTAGAGGACTTGAGTTACTTGCCCAAGGTCACACAGCTGAAAAGTGCTGGGCAAACCTAGGTCCTTAGCTTCAAACCCCATGCACTTATTTCCCAGTTCTAGCCCAAGGGTGTGAGGAGTGTGGAGTAAACAAACAAACAAACAAACAAAAATCATTGCAACAGATAGAGAACCATAGAGGTCAGGGGAAACCCAGCGAAGGGTGGTGAAAGTTGTGGATCAGGGTCTCGGAAGGCCTTTCTTGAGGGGGACATAGTAAAATAATAAGAGCTAACATTTCTGAGCATGTACCATAAGACAGGCACTCTGATAAATGCCTCACATGTACTATGTCATCTAGACCTCAAAATGAGCTTATAATATATGTGTTATTAGTGTGCCCATTTCACAGGTGAAGAAACTTGAGGCCCAGTGAAGTGAAGCGAAGTGCCTCAAAGGGTCATACATCCAAGGAGAGAAAGTGCTTGAATTAAACCCAGGTCTACCCGACCTCGAAAATCTTGTTGAGACTCATTTTACAACAGATGCAAGTGTGAGAGTGTGTGCTGGCTCTGGGAGGAAGCACAGTCTTCATTGCAGGCAAGACAGCACCTGGGGTCCAAGGCTGGGCCCACTCCTCAGCAGAGCTCTGGGTGCGCGGGCAGCAATCATATGCTCCAGATGTCCCCGGCCTGGGCCCCTTTCCAATATCCTCACACGTGCAGGTTATGGCTGGGAGAATATGGCCTCCACAGCCTTGAATAGTCTCCCCTCCCACTTGTAAGACAAGCTCTCTCTGTTTCTGTTTCTTTCTGTTTTCTCTCTCTGTGCCTCTGTCTGTCTTTCTTTCCCTGCCTCTTTGTCTTGCTGTCTCTCTCTATCTCTCCACACCCTCTCACACTTCATTCTCTGGCTGGGAATCAGAAAACTTCTTGTCCTTTATGGTCACTTACACACCTAACAAAAACCACCAGGACACTGGCTCAGTTCTGGCTACCGCTAAGGCAAGGGCGCCTCCTAGTGGTGAAAAGTCTCATTGGTCCTTCAAGCTCCAGCATCTCCTTCTCTAGGAAACCACCCTGAGGAGGGGGAGGTGGAGAAGATGTGACTGCCTTGCCTGACACCGTGTCATTGAGAATGTGTCCCAGTCCCTGGCAGCCAGCCCCACAGGTGAGGGGACTTCCAAACCCCACGCCTAGCCCAGCGGTTCCATCCTGATGAACGTTAGCCAGCTGGGGACCTCTAAAATGTGCTGAGGGCCCCACCCCATCTGGAATTATTTTCAATGTGCCCTCCCCACACTGTCCCCCCATTTCCCTCTCACAGCGATTCTTACATGCATCCAGACCATGGTCTAAGCCCAGATCACGTGGGGCGTTTAGGAAAGATGAAGTTTCCAGATGCTGCCTGAGACCTGGTCTAGCCACCTGTGTTTTAACACAACGGAGGTAGTTTTCATGAATAGTGAGGTTGGCCGAGGACTGGGCGACTCCCTTCACCTTCACGGGAAGGCGGTGGGGTCCAGGAGGTGGTACTCAGGCCTGAGGTATGGGCTGCGGAAACTGGAAGGAGAGACGCATTCCACATCCTACAGATATTGGGTCCTTTCCCATCCCTACCTCCGAAGGCACCCATAGGTGCCCTTCTCACCCATGAGCACCGCCACTAGTATTTGTGTCTTTCTGATGCACCCACCCCTGCAGGCTCAGTCAGCTCTCTGGAGTCCTGCAGTCCAGCTTAGCTCCCACTGGTCACACCCCTTACCCCAGGTTCTGGGCCAGGCAGCCTCAATTCCTAGAGATTCTAGGGAGAGGGGGTGTGGGTGCTAATTCCCTGGGGATGGGGGTCGGGTGTGTGTGTGTGAGCTGTGCTTTTTTTCTGAGAGAATTTAAGAGTCCTGGGTTCCAGGGAAAGGTCTAAGGCAACTCCCAGAGCCCCCTGGGGCCTCTACCTCCAGCATCCTGGACCTTCTGGTGGAGATCTGTCCAAGCCAGCACTCCACCCGCCCCTCCCCGCACCTCGGAGCCCAGGGCGCTTGTTCCCCTCCTCTGTGCAGGCCCCCAAGAAGCGAGGCTCCAACCGTCAGCTCTGAGGCTTTGCTGAGAATCCCTAACTCGGACATGGAGACCAAAGATTTCTGAGGTGAGGGCGCCCCCTGCTGGCCCTGCTTAGAGGCAATGACAGTTGGGCCTGCGCCGTTGTCCTGTCGCTGGGGACTCGGTTTCCCCCGGAAACCCACTGTCATCCGCGAGTCCCTAGCGGCGCCACTACATGCATCCATGTAGGTCGTGGATGCGAGGACCAGGCGTGTCACCAGTAACGACACGGGAAAGCTCAGATCTCGTGACTTTATTACGGAAAAGTCCCAAAGTGCTCTCCCCTCCCAGAGCCAAGGCTGGGGAGGACCCAGATCCGCTTCTGGGGTGGGCGCAAGGGATCCCCAGGTGGGAGGCGGTCCGCGCAGGCGGGAGCCCGGCACTCCCGGTCCCCTGCGCCACACAGGGGAGCCTTATAGGATGGCAAACACTAAAGAGCGTGCCAGGCACTGTTCTGAACATCTTCCCCGGTTAACCCAAGTAATCCCCGTGAGGAATATCCGAGGTAGGCACTATAACAGTTCTTCCTGCTGCACAAAGAAGGAAGCGGAGGCACAGAGAGGCTGAGTAACTTGCCCAAGGACACACAGCCCGAGAAGGGTGGGGCTGCAATGGGGCCCGGCTCGGAGCCCACGCTGAGGACCACCCTCCAGGCCGCCCCTAGCTTCCTCACCCGAGAAAAGGGCGAGCTAGCCCCCTCCTGCCTTTCCAGCCAGTGCGGTTCAGAGCCGCGAGGGGAACCTGCCTCCTCACTTCTGTGGGTCGGGCCACAGGTGTGCGCGCCGGCGCTGGGACCCTGGGACCCTGGGACCCTGGGACCCGGAGCCCGCGGCGCGGATGCGTGGGGGCGCCGGGCTAGGGCTGCAGCTCGTACTGCCGCTCCGTGGCCGTGTGGAAGTCCTCCAGCACCGACTGCAGGAACTCGAAGGTGGGCCGCTCCTCGGGCCGGCTTCGCCAGCACTCGGCGATGACGCCGCGGTACAGCTCGGGCGGGCAGGAGTCGGGGCGCGGCATGCGGTAGCCGCGCTCCAGGCTGCGGATGACCTCGGGGTTGCTCATTCCTGGAGGCAGAGGGGACGCGGGGCGGCTGCAGGGCGGCGGGGGCGGGAGGCACCGACCGCGGTCTCCTCCCCCCGCAGGTCACGTGGCTGCCCGCCGGGTGCCCCCTTGAAACGGGCCTTTATGTACTTTTCACTGCCCGGAGCGCCGCTGGCAATGAGGCTGTGGACTTGTCCTCAGTGCGGCCAGTTCCTCCGTGGGTGGGACCCTACCTGGCTTCTCTGTGAGTGCCTGACACGCAGCCGAAGCGCATGGCTCGCTCGCTGGGCAGGTGTTTGGGGAGAACGCACCACCCGTTCATTAGGAGAGACTGCTCAGCAGCCCAGGCCCTTCTGACGGGGGGCGGGGGCCTGGATTTTACAACCAGGGAGGGGCTACTCCCAAGGCCCAGGCCTCCACTGAGATCAAACCAACTGGGAGTAAAAGAGTCAGACCCTGACCTTTTCTTATTTCCAGGTTTGGGGGCTGATGCAGCCCTAGGGAGGAAGGGGGCGGGGCCCTGTTGACAAGAGCGATGTTGAAGGGGGCAGAATAGCCCTAACCGGTTTGGCTCAGTGGATAGAGCATCAGCCTGCAGACTCAAGGGTCCCAGGTTTGATTCTGATCAAGGGCATGTACCTTGACTGTGGGCACATCCCCAGTGGGGAGTGTGCAGGAGGCAGCTGATCGATGTTTCTCTCTCATCGATGTTTCTAACTCTCTATCCCTTTCCCTTCCTCTCAGTAAAAAAATCAATAAAATATATATTTAAAAAAAAAAAAGGGGGCAGAACCCCGCCCCCCCCCCCCCCCTCGCTCCAGACTGGTATGCCTGGTTACTGTCCCCACCATCGAGACTCCATTTTGACACACATTTGGGCACTCCAGGCTCAAGGACGGGCTGTCTGCCATCACAACCACCCAGGACAGCAGGGGACCCGAGAGTCGCCACAGGAAGAAACTGCCTACCTGGGTAGGGTACCCGCCCGTGCGTGACGATTTCCATCAGGAGGATGCCAAATGACCACACGTCCGCCTTGATGGTGAACACCCCAAAATGGATGGCCTCCGGGGCAGTCCACTTGATGGGGAACTTGGCCCCTGCGGGAAAAGCCATGAGCAGCTCTGTGAGGCCATGGCTGACTGACCCCACACGCCCACCTCCTGCTCTTCCTGTTCCTCCCACCCCACAGCGACTGCGTCTTGCAGGGCTTGTGTATTTGTCCAGAGAGTCACTGAGACTCATTAGGACACATGGCCAAGTGCGTGCTGACAACGGGGAGCCATAGCATGAAAG